CCCTATAGCCATCAAACTTTGGTGAGTTCATTAGAACACTCTCGGGAAAGGTTCTGTAAAACAATCATTTTTTAATTTCACAAGGGCGGCGCCACGGGAGGGTACGGTTTATAAAAATAAAAGTCGATTTTGGTTTGACATCGTTCATCCGATAGTCATGAGACTTTGGGGAGTTCATTATAACACTTTAGGGAAGGGTTCTGTAAAAAATATTTTTTTAATTTCGCAAGGGCGGCGCCACGTGAGAGTGCGATTTTTCTCTATATACGGCATATAAAAATAATAAAAATGAATTGCAGTGACACCGTTCACACGATCGCCATGAAACTTTATGAAGTTTGTATGAATATTCCTTGGGAGGTTTCTGCGAAACAAAATATCAAATTCGCAGGGGTGGCGCTTCGGCAGGGCGTGATTTGTTTTTTCTCGATAAACGGTATATAAAAATAAAAGTCGATTTCGGTTTGACACCATTCTTCCGAGCGCCATGAATCTTTGGTGAGTTCATTAGAACACTCTGGGGAAGGGTTCTGTAAAATATAATTTTTTTTGTTCGCAAGGGCGGCGCCACGGGAGGGTGCGATTTTTCTCTGTATACGGTATATAAAAATAAACGTCGATTGCGGTTTCACGGCGTTCATCCTATTGCCATCAAACTTTGGGGAGTTGATTAGAACACTCTGGGGAAGGGTTCTGTAAAAGCATACATAATTTCTCAAGGGCGGCGCCACGGGAGGGTGCGATTTTTCTCTATGTACAGTATAAAAAAATAACATTTCATTCGATAGCCATGAGACTTTGGGGAGTTGAGTAGAGCACTACCTCGTAGGGTTCTGCAAATACTTTTTTACGTGCTAAAGAAAATAATCCTGTTCATTCGTGTCACTTTTGCGAATGACGAATTCTGCATCATTGTTAACAGAATGCTATTTGGCACGATGGCGCCTGTTAGTTTTAAGGAGCCAGGGGCCGTACGTGGCGCCTATGCGGTAGTGTAATTGAAGGGGGGGGGGTGTGCTCCTGAGAGCGCCCCTCTACGTCCCTGACACATGGGTGGTCACCGAAGTGTGTTCTACCTGATTGTTTCGGTGAGTGATTAATGTACACATAACGATTTAACGCGGTCGTGTAGGTAAACCCATGTCCCAGTATTTATGATCCAAGCGCAGGCATTGTTTACATTTAAATAACTCACGCGTCTAAGAATATAGGATTTGTAACGTATGGAAGAAACCCTTCTTCTATCCGTGCGGCAACGCGCGGTGACGGGTACGCTAGTTTTATATAAATCTTTGTTTGTTTAGCTACGGAATTGGCTATTTTGGGATATAGGCTCCTAATTAAATTTAAAATAATTGGACCTTTTCGCGTAACTGGTGTCTTACTTTGCAGTACAATATAGGACTACTTCTACATTGGTCAGTTAGTGCCCCTATAGCTTAAATGGTAGTGTAATTGCTACCATGCGGGTAGTACGTTTTCGATGACACATCACGATAAAGTACTTTTTTTTTTCAATTTTTTTTTTATAAACGTGAATTATGAAGTTGCCGATCGGGACCTCGCGGGACACAGGGCAGGTGAAGTAGAGTACTTCTTTTTCTTTGTCCTCAGCATATGAAGGGATAGTGTGGTCGGATACATGCTCGGCCGGAATCGTTTTTTTAAACGATAAAAACATGTTGTCTGAGACTTGGTTACTAAAACTCAAGTTAGTTTACATGAATATTTATTTATCTGATTGACTATTGTAAATGGTTCTACTCTATGTGGAGAGCTGTAAAATAGAACGTAGGTAGAGAATAATTTTTGTTTTCAGACAGACTATTAATCACAAATTCATTTAAAGACGTTAATTAATTTATTGATTTATTCATAGGTAGATTAACCACATTTATTTTAAAAGATTAGAAAAACGACTCGACGGAAGAGTGACGTCACAAAATTGCGGCGTCTATCGAAGAAGATTATGTTCCCATTCCAAAGTTTAACGCGTTCTAAAGCTAATTTTCTGTCGGCTATAACTTTAACAATACGTCCGTTTGCTGTATTTATTACGTTCCAACACTTAAAATCAATTTTCAACTGTCTTTTTCATTTAGTTTTACGATAAATTTCTCTAGATCTACAGATCAGCTGTCGGAGGAAGAACATGTTGTTATGAAATCTAGATCCTAGATCTAGGTCACTAGACTTTACGTAAATTCTAGATCTAGACTTAATGCAAATTCTACATCTAGAATCTATTTCAGGCCTATTTTATATAAATCTTTGTTTGGCTTTAATGAACATCTAATTCGAGAATACATCGGATTTATCTATCTAGTTTCTAGAGCTAGATATAGTAGGATTACTCGCTTTATTGGAGGCGTGGTCGGTTGCTAACAAAAATGGCGTCCGGACCGGACGCATGATTTCCGACTATTTTTAGGCTATGTTTACCACGAGCAAAATGGCGGGTTTTCACGTTACATAAACATGCTAAACGAGTCGTAGAATCTAGATCTAGATAATTCTATCTAGATCTAGATAATTTCAAACCTTTATTATTTTATATAAATCTTTGTTTGGCTAATTTAAGATAAAATTTAATTTGAAAGTTACTACTACTAGACTAAGATCTAGATCCATGCGCGTAAATCAAGTTGCATAAGGAGACTCAAAGTATTAAACTATAGTATAAAAAAACATCTGTGACGTCACGAGTTAAATAGCTAAGTTGTTAGTGTAATCGGCTTGCATGCGGGTGGCACAGATTCTAGACCAATACGTCAATAATAATTTTTGTTTTCATTTTTTTAATATGTGAATGATAAAGTTGCCTATCTGAACTTGACGGGGTAAAGGTCAGGTGAAGTAGAGTTAATCTGTTTCTTTGTCCTAAGCATATGAAGGGATAGTGTTGTCAGAGACATGCTCGGCTGGAATCGTTTTTTTAAACGATAAAAACATGTTGTCTGAGACTTGGCAGGACACTGGGCAGGTGAAGTAGAGTTGAGTAGGTCACCTGTGACGTCAGTATATGAAGGGGTAGTCCGAAATCGGTGTTTTTAACAGATAAAAAACATCTATTTTGAATGTGGGGTCTGGTTTTTGTGACGATAAGTGACAAACGTGATGTTTTTTATGGATGACCCCCGAAACCCACAGTTATCCAACGGATGACCGGTAGTCTAGTAACACATTATTGAGCAGATCTAAAGCAGAAAAATTCAAAATGATTGCACCTTCGTCTGTCTTATGTCAGTCAGTCAGTCAGTTTGTCGGACGGTGGCCAGTCAGTCAGTCAGTCAGTCAGTCAGTCAGTCATTCATTCAGTCAGTCGGTCGGTCGGTCGGTCGGTCGGTCGGTCGGTCGGTCGGTCGGTCGGTCGGTCGGTCGGTCGGTCGGTCTGTTTGTCTGTTAAACAACAACAAAGAGAAACCAAATATGTTTGTTTCCAATACAGAAAACAACATATGTTACCTATATAAAGAACCACATACGTTACCCATATTAAAAAACACACAAATATAGGCCTACCCCTTTAAGCAACTACATGTACCCCATATAAGCAACCACAAATCTCCCCCTTATAAGCAACCACATATGTTCCCATATAACAAGCGCATATGTTCCCTGTACTAACAGAGAATACACGACAGCGAATGGATTAACCAATAGCCTACGTGACAAATAATTTCCTAACCCCCCCCCCCCCCCCCCCCCCACCCCACCCCCCTTCCACCCCCCCCCCCCCCCCAAAGCAACACGTCAAGATTCTGATGTAGATTTAGTGTTTTCAATCAAATCCCAATTAGACTGACAAAGAGAAAATAAGATTAGATTTAAGTGACCTGGCTGTTTTAACCATCAGTCAAGTTAGATCAATTCATTCAACACATGACCAGCCGAACACAACAAGGAAGCTAGTGGCACGATGAAACTAGCCTGGCGAGCGAACAACCCATGAACGAACGACCCAGTGAACGAACGATATCACTAGACTACCCGTTATCTAATTAGATAACTGTGGGTTTCGGGGGTCACCCATAAATGACATCACGTCTGCCAGCACTTATCATCCCAAAATAACCAGACCCCACATTCCAAAATACGTTTTTTATATTTTATAAACTCTACTAAACTCTACTTCACCTGCCCAGTGCCCCGCCAAGTCTCAGACATGTTTGTATTTAAAAAAAAACGATTCCTGCCGAACATGGCTCTGACCACACTATCTCTTCATATGCTGAGAACATAGAAACAGGTGAACTCTACTTCACCTGCCCTGTGCCCCGCGAGGTCCTGATAGTCACCCTTATCATTCACATAAAGGCCTTAAGAAAAAATAGTTGAAAACATTGTTGTAAAAAGAAAATAAATCTTTTTACTATTACTAAAGTCATTGTTCTAAACTTTTATAATTAATGTGGTTAATCTACCAAAGAATATATTAATAAATTAATTAACGGGTTTAAATTAGTTTGTAAATAACAGTGTGTTGAAGAAAGAACAGTATTTACCACCCAAAATCCTATTTTACAGCTCTACAGATAATGCAGATTCTCCCCAATAACAAATAAAAAAACAAACAAACTAAAAAATGAGTCATCAAACGTCACTATTCAGTCAAAGTTAAGCCATTGTTCTAAAACTTTAAAATTAATGTGGTTAATCTACCTATGAATAAATCAATAAATTAATTAACGTCTTTAAATAAATGTGTGAATAACAGTCTGTCTGCAATCAAAAATTGTTCTCTACCTACATACTATTTTACAGCCCCCCATATAGAGCAGTTTCCTTACAGTACCAAATCAGACAAACAAATAGATATTCAAACATGTAAACAAACTTGAGTTTTAGTAGTATAGAGATAGATAGATAGATAATAGGGAATAAAACAACTGGATTTGTTTATCACAAATAAAAAAGAACAAATAACTCCCTAAGTTTTATCGATCTAGACATATTGATTTCTCCTTTTGTCACAAGTAATTGACCAACACGTCAAACCAGACTACACACAACGCTACCATGGGCACCTACATTCTGTGTGCTTCTTATATTATGGTGTACGCACTAATTCCCATGCCACTTTTCCAGGCGATGCCAATGTTGTCAGAAAGTGGAAAACAGCAAGCACCAACTGAAGGCAGACAACCGGAATTAAAATTATCTACAGTAGCTTCTAAACAGCATACATATCAACAAACGCTAAGTCAACAACCGGAAGTGCTTGTCTCAAAGATACACAAAGAAAATCCAAGACCCTTAACTCCGGAGAAGTTTACATTAACAGATAATAAACAACCAAATGTTTCTAAACAAACAAAACAGGAGATTTCTCAAGACGATCGGAATATAAAAATACTTCCACCAACAGGAAAGAACAACACGGAAGTGCTTGAGAATTTAGAATCACTCAAACTTATGAAGTCAGGCAGAGGCCCCCAAATGGCGAATTCTGGGCAGTTTCGCCCGCGTGATACTAAAATAAATAAACTTATAAACGGCAGTTTAAAGCAGGCAAAACGAGGAAGAAAATACTTGTATAAAGTTGACCCGACGACTTTCGCCCGTTGGCATGTTGGAAACAAGTCGGCCATCTTTGAAAGAAGTTTGCTAAACACCACCAGGAAGGACTGCTCGCTAGGCTTCGTTAGGAAAGGTGACCGGTGCTACTCGTACTTTGATGTACTCACCACGAACGATGATTGTGTGTCGCTTTGTAGTATATTCTTGTAAGTGCATCTTTAAACTTCTCATTATATAGCATAAGCACTGATTAGCTAAAAATCAGCTTTAATTTTTTTTTATAACGGTTATATAAGAATTTGGCCGTTGTCAGAAATAAATGTATCCAGGCTAATAATAAACTAAGGAACGGTGTGGCCGGTTGTAGAGCGCGCAACTGCTAACCCGAAAAGGCTCGAGTTTGGAACCCTGGTTTGAGTTTGTATATTTATGGGTACCTGGCTCATTTAGGGATAAGTAAAAATGGTTGGGCTTAGTGCGTACCGCTGTCAATTGAAATACAGAGGTCACTGAACCAGGTGAGCTCTACTTCATCTGCCTAACAAAATTTTACTTTTCTTTGACTGTGAAGTAATATAATTAATGTTGCGAAATATTTTGCGAGAGCTGACCCGCGACGTAGCATACGCCGCTATCTAGTTGTTTTATTTTCCACTTATCAACAATTCATAATTTGTGAATTCGACACTACCCCACCCCCATGCCTGCCCCCCCCCCCTCCCCCCACCCCAACCCACCCCACCCCGTCCAGACGTTTACAGACGACAATGAAAATATCAAGCAGAACTTATAATCTCTCCTAAGTTTCAAATCGTTTGAAAAGTAAATTATCTGCACTTATTCGAACCGGTTCTACTATTGTAAACATTCGGGGTGAACCAGAGCTCACCTGGCAGGTGGTGATGACGGTGGTAGCTAAGCTGCGTGGTGTTTTCTATGGTCTCCATGAAGAGAATTTTATATATATATATATATATATATATATATATATATATATATATATATATATATATATATATATATATACATATATATATATATAGATGTAAGTGAAACCAGCAAGCTACTTGAAATAACATTGTCTTGTTTTCTTTGTTGTCGTCTACAGGGGGACGATTGTACTGCCCACGTCAGATGCCACCAAGGACTACATCCACGGTCAGATGATCAACTCTTTAACGACGCAGAACCTGACGAAAATTTACCCTTACTGGCTGGGCATGGTGTACACAACTAGAGCCAACGGTTGGCGCATCTTGGGGTGGGTGGACTAGAGGTGGTGGCATGGAGAGTTGTATTACTACATCTTCTTAAGTATACATGGCGCATGTCTTAACCAATTCATATATATATATATATATATATATATATATATATATATATATATATATATATATAGTTTTTAAAAAATATATAATCCAAATATTGACAGGTCCTCACCCGTACAGGTGAACTACTTCAACTGGGCAGCAGGTGAGCCCAATACACCTGCGCCAAACGACTGTGCCGCTGTCGGGACTTCCGATGCCTACTGGAGGGTCTACAAATGTGACAACTACGGTTACTGCGCCTGCGACTCGGGTTTACATGATCTTCAGAATGTGACCCCCAACGGTTAGACCCGCAGGCTAGACCCGCAGGTTAGACCCGCAGGCTAGACCTACAGGCTAGACCCACAGGGTAGACCTCTATTTGTTTATAAAATAAAAATGTTAAGCTGCATTGCTACAACTGTTGTCTTCGCGTTTTCGAAAGTATAAATTACACATACTGTGTTTTGTGGAGTCAGTTTAATAATGAAATTACGGCAACGAAATTTCATTGTTAAATACCGATGCAATTATAAAAAAAAACGAGGACTTTTCTGGAGATTGAACTCTTGGAAATTGAGTTGTGAAATTTTGATAAATGGCAATTAATTAGCCTAACTCGCACTAACACAGAAGTTATGTTAGTTTCACTCAACCAAAGTTTCGGCCATATTGTTTACACTGACAAAACAGCAAAGTCAAATATATGTGACTTGACAAACAGCTATCACAAATACACTTGACTTAAAACAACAATCACAAATACACATGACTTAAAACAACAATCACAAATACTTGTGGTTTACCTAAAACAATCACAAATACATGTGACTTTTGAAAACAGCTCAATAAAATATCCCAGCACAGAGATGTAGACTAGATAAACAAAAAAACGAGCTGTTGTGCATAATCATTTATTTAATGTTTTAAAATGAATGAACCTCACTTTCACGAACATGTTATAGGCATAACTTACAGCATCACGACTTATACTTTGTAACGTTATCCAAAATACCCATCCCTATACAACCAACATCATAACTTACACTTTGTAACCTTAACCAAAATACCCTTCCCTATAAACCCAGCATCACATAACTTACACTTTGTAACCTTAACCAAAATACACTTTACCTAATTATTACCTACCCTAAACCGTCTTTAATTATGATCTGATGAAACCACCCGCGCATTATTATTTCTCCCCATATTAATATTTACAAAAATGTGCATACAGTCAAAGGCAAAAGTTAATTGTTTACAAATTATTTTTAAAAAAACCGTCTGTAAACTAACCACTCATAATTTCATTTAGACGTAAATCGTGTAAAACATAACCCATACAAATGTAAATCTTGTACAACATACACCTGTAATCCGTAAATCGTGTGCAACATACATCAATACAAATGTAAATCGTGTAAAACATAACCCATACAAATGTAAATCTTGTACAACATACACCCATACAAATGTAAATCTTGTACAACATACACCTACAAAAAAGGAAATCACAGAATGATTGTTACAGATATGACAATAATACTAAATATGCGTACACACTCAATACAGAAATTACTGCAAATATTGTACCCATGTATATTACACACTCAATACAGAAATTACTGAAAATACTGTACCCATGTATATTACACACTCTATACAGAAATTACTGAAAATACTGTACCCATGTATATTACACACTCTATACAGAAATTACTGAAAATATTGTACCCATGTATATTACACACTCAATACAGAAATTACTGAAAATATTGTACCCATGTATATTACACACTCAATACAGAAATTACTGAAAATACTGTACCCATGTATATTACACACTCTATACAGAAATTACTGAAAATATTGTACCCATGTATATTACACACGATTCATTACTCAGACACGGTAGATAGGTCCTCACAGAGAGTACAGTAGTTAAATATTTATGTTTGTATTTCCGTGTTATTCTATAACTTATTCCATAACCTATATCTGAGGGCAATAAATCATCGTTTGCAATTTACTAGAGTCTGTATCATCGGTGACATTCAGTTTACATCATACATCACACATTCACACACCAATTGGTTTTAAATTTACACAAACTTACACTTATGCACATACACATACACACACATATACATATATATGTGTGTGCACTTATATACATGTATATATATGTTGTACTAATTATAAGTATATGATGTAGATTTACTTAATACAACTATACAAATATATCAATGACATTTATAATATTAATTTAGACGGCAAAACAAGACATTTAAATTGATATATTTGATATACGAGCTTACAGCGAAGATGCATAGTTGTATTCGACATTCTGCACGCCGCATTAAATTGCATATTTGTTTTCTTAATGACTAAAACAAATATCCATGTAACGCTTAACACAAGTGTTAGATGATATTTCATTCAAGTTGTAAATGATTTAGATACAGTTGGATTATAAATAGTGGCTTTAATGAAATGGTTAATTTTAAAAATCGAAATATAAAATTTATAATTTTGATAAAATGGAGTATAAAGTGACGCTAAAAAACGAAGTAGAAAAAAAATGAGACGAAATAAATATGGGTTAGAGGTCATTTAATACATCTTTGGTAATTTTGTTGAGTATTAGGTCATGTCATAAAAAGGCATAATTTTACTAGTTTCCTATTTGTGTTCAATTGTTTACATATTTGTAAATGTGAATGTACCCTGTGATTAGCGATATAGTCACCAACATTAAAGATTATAACCGGAGTCAATCTGTTATATGCATAGCAAACATGTGTATACAGTCGTATATACCTTCCTAATGTGATATATGCCTGCTCGTTTGGTGTACATGAAACTATATTGATCGAGGCTTACGTGTAATGCATGAATCTGGTCTTAAATGAAATAAATTGATCTGGCTTAATACGGTTGTCTATAGGGACATCACATGTGTTCGTGCTTATCGACAACACAATGTGTAAAAAAAATTGCGCAATAGTGTATTTTGTCAGCCAGTTTATAACTAGATTCAACGCTATGTGTTTACACAATATAATCCGATTGAGTGAGCCAGTTTATAAATAGATTCAACACTATGCGTTTTACACAATATAAACAGTTTTAATTAGCCAATTTTTAATGAGCAGGATAAAATTCATTAGGCACTGGCTGTTATACAAAAACATCGCATTAATTGTCTTTAACTACAAAACTGAAGTTCTCTCACGTCAAGACCCTAATGAACACAACGTAGCTGCCCCCTGCGTCCAGAACCTCCATTCAAAATACCAGAGATTTACCTCCCATAATAATGTTTTTGTAAATTTAATTATTCTAGTAGCACCGCGGCTTGCTATCACTATCTACAATCAATATAAAATCAACAGACACGTTAATAACAGGGCAAGAACCAATGAGGATATTCTATTCTCGCAGGAGGCGGAGCTGCAAAATTTCTCCTGTAGGCGGCCGTAAAGTCTGGTGGTAGACTTCCGCTCGCAGTATTCGAACTCTTGGCAGGAACAGGTCATTAGGGCTTCCAGAGTTAGGCGGACTTCGTCCAGGGTCTCCAGTTCTTTGAACTTTTTGAGCATATACGTCCTCATGTCGCCCTGTTAGACAATACAGACATTACTCGAGGTTTAGCCATACCAACGTATTAATCTTGGTTAAGTTATACCAACACATCATTTTAGGTGTAGTTATACTAACACATCATTTTAGGTGTAGTTATACCAACTCATCTCTCGAGGTTCTATCTATAACAACACATCACTGTATGTTTTAGCTATACCAAGACATTACTCTTGGTTTTAGCTATACCAATACATCACTCTTAGTGTAGCTATACCAACACATCACTCTAGGTTTAGCTATACCAACACATCACTCTAGGTTTAGCCATACAACATCACTCTTAAGGTAGCTATACCAACACATCCATTCTTGGTTTAGCTATACCAACACATCCATTCTTGATTTAGCTATACTAACACATCCATTCTTGATTTAGATGTACTAAAATAAGAAAAGCAAACATTAAATTTTTTAACCATCCGAAGTTTTACAATTTAGTGACCAAAAACTTTTGTATCAAAACTAAAAAAGGTTAAAAAATTGATTCATCAATGGATATTGAATCTACGCTGTTTATTCAACTGCCTGCATGCAATCCACGGCTATGTTTAAGCTGCTAGGGAACCAACCCGTAGGCACACATGCAACATGACACGGCCTAGTAAACCTCACAGCAGACACTAAATGAACCTAACCGCAGGCACCTAGTAAACCCACCAGCAGATACCTTGTGAACCCACCTGCACACACCTAGTAAACCCACCTGCAGACACCCAATAAACCCACCTGCAGACAGTGCCGGCGCCAGGTTATTTAGCACCCTAGGCAAAACTTATTAAAACGCCCCTTCTCAAATTAATTATTAAAACATATGTATAAGAAAACAATTCATTAAAAGTGACATATTAATTTATTATCAATTGCATACACGTTATAAGTAGACATCAAAATCAAATTTTACTAGCCTCCTTCGTCTCAAAAGTTGTACTAATTCCTTCAATTCCAGTTTGCAAGCGTAATCACATTTTATTGAAATTGTTTTTGTCTATGAGTCTACTTTGTACTTTACGATATAGCCCCCCACCCCCTCTTAGCAAAATTTTAGTTCTTTTAGTGTTGGACTCTCTGCAGTCCTCCCAAGGTGAGTTCCAAAACGGAACTTACCTATTTTAATCTTGACTGTCTTTAGTTATAATTGTAAAATGTCTAAATTGTGTTATTAGGTAACTTTTTTTTTGTTTTTGAAAAATAAAAGATTATAAATGTTATAGATACCAGCCTAATATTGTTATATATGAATCATTTAGGAGAGGGTGAAAAATATGAAAATACAATTTATTAGATGTTTAATTTACGACTAACATTAAGTATTGCAATCTACAACGGCTACTGATGTATTTGTTTTTCAACTTGATAATGCTAGAAAAACCTACCAAACTATTTTGTTTAGAACTTAAGCTCTATATAATTTTTACAGTAGCAAATAATAACTTAATGTTGTATTTATATGTAAGCGGTCAACCTAAGTGCACGAATTTGAAATGAATGTTAAGCAATGAATTATCTCCCATTTGAAAATCAAAATAACAAAATTTTATTCAAGGGAAATAACTTTCAAAAGAATTGCTAAATTAACCAAGTGTAACTAAGACATGTTTGAAAAACACAATAAAACGGTTTAAATTTCATTGGATAATAATTATAACAAATCTTTTTTGGTAGCTATGAAACCTTGTAAAAACAATATATTTTACCTATTGAATACTTAACTGTAGGTTCTGTTTGAAAGTCTAAATATTTAGCTTTATTATAACATACTTCTATTCAATTTTGATGACATCCTTGAAATTGAGAGTGAAAGTACTGTAAATAACCTAAAATTTTTGATCCCCTAAATAAAGGGATGTTTTTCAAATAATCCAACAAGGGTAACCCCTTTAAGCATTGCTAGAATTGACTAATTATAAAAAAATGTTATAATTTGAAAAAAAAAGTTTACGATTATTTACAAATTTCATCATGTTTAATAAATTTAAATACTTTAAGAGTGTAATATAGATTCCTAAAAAACAAGATTTTTCAACTAGAGAACGCCTACCTTTCTTTGTAATGTGTTCCGTCCTGAATTGAAATAATCTAACTTACGATAAACTCGACTACTCGATATACTCTTCTACATTCACAACACATATCAAACTTCGATATCTAAACATAACTAGACTCGATGCTCCAGAACTACGACACCAACTCTTTTACTTCACCAAGCTCTAAAAACGATTTCACTGGGCCTAATACTACACTTTAACAGTCAATATAATTTGATACCTATATACCTCAAGGCTCGATAGTCCCGAACTCCAAAACTACAATACCTCATCACCTACATTCGCATTTCCCTACAACAACAGCCAAATAAAAAATACGAGACTTTAACGCTTCGACACTTTATACCTACGGAAACATATCAGCAACAGCCTTCCACCGTTAATTCCAAATCTAAACGAGTCATCAAAACTTACTAAACAAGTGACCATACTTTGAACACCCCTTCATTACAAAACTCTATACACCGGAACAGATTTCTAATTCAAAGTCAGAGAAAACGAGACTTACAAGCCCTATTACAATGTTCGAAATTTAAATTACGAGCTTATTTATTCGTTTTCTACATAAAATATGTGACACCAAAATAAAAAGGCAAAGTGACTGATAAGAAGCGCCCCGACCTTTCCAAAGTAGGGAGGTGGGGGTTGCATTTTCACCATCGCGAATAAATATAGGCCTATATAGACCTAATTTTGGGGTGGGAGCGCAAAACTGATAGTTCGTCCTGGTTGCCGAAATAGATCGCTACTCCTTTATAAAAGTTATTAATTATTTGGTACTTTTTGATAATAGCGATTAAAACTTTTGCGACCCCTAGGGATGGCGCCCTAGGCGACCGCCTAGTTCGCCTTATAGGTAGCGACGGCCCTGCCTGCAGACACCCAATAAACCCACCTGCAGACACACAATAAACCCACCTACAGACACCCAATGAACCCACCTGCAAACACCAAATAAACCCACCTGCAGACACCCAACAAACCCACCTGCAAACACCCAATGAACCCACCTGCAGACACACAATAAACCCACCTGCAGACACCCAATGAACCCACCTGCAGACACCCAATGAACCCACCTGCAGACACCCAATAAACCCACCTGCAGACACCCAATGAACCCACCTGCAAACACCCAATGAACCCACCTGCAGACACACAATAAACCCACCTACAGACACCCAATGAACCCACCTGCAGACACCCAATAAACCCACCTGCAGACACCCAATGAACCCACCTGGAGACACCCAATGAGCCCACCTACAGACACCCAATGAACCCACCTGCAGACACCAAGTAAACCCACCTGCAGACACCCAATGAACCCACCTACAGACACCCAGTGAACCCACCTGCAGACACCCAATGAACCCACCTGCAGACACCAAGTAAACCCACCTGCAGACACCCAATGAACCCACCTGCAGACACCAAGTAAACCCACCTGCAGACACCCAATGAACCCACCTGCAGACACCAAGTAAACCCACCTGCAGACACACAATAAACCCACCTACAGACACCCAATGGACCCACCTACAGACACCAAGTAAACCCACCTGCAGACACCCAATGAACCCACCTGCAGACACCAAGTAAACCCACCTGCAGACACCCAATGAACCCACCTGCAAACACCCAATGAACCCACCTGCAGACACACAATAAACCCACCTACAGACACCCAATGAACCCACCTACAGACACCCAATGAACCCACCTGCAGACACCCAATAAACCCACCTGCAGACACCAAGTAAACCCACCTGCAGACACCCAATAAACCCACCTGCAGACACCCAATAAACCCACCTGCAGACACACAATAAACCCACCTACAGACACCAAGTAAACCCACCTGCAGACACACAATAAACCCACCTACAGACACCAAGTAAACCCACCTGCAGACACCCAGTGAACCCACCTGCAGACACCTTGTGACCCCACCTGCAGACACACAATAAACCCACCTACAGACACCAAGTAAACCCACCTGCAGACACCCAAAAACCCACCTGCAGACACCCAATGAACCCACCTGCAGACACCAAGTAAACCCACCTGCAGACACCAAGTAAACCCACCTGCAGACACACAATAAACCCACCTACAGACACCAAGTAAACCCACCTGCAGACACCCAGTGAACCCACCTGCAGACACCTTGTGACCCCACCTGCAGACACCCAGTGAACCCACCTGCAGACACCCAAATAAACCCACCTGCAGACACCCAAAAACCCACCTGCAGACACCCAATGAACCCACCTGCAGACACCCAATGAACCCACCTGCAGACACCCAAATAAACCCACCTGCAGACACCCATAAACCCACCTGCAGACACCCAATAAACCTACCTGCAGACAACCAGTGAACCCACCTGTAGACACTCGTGCGACAAGACCTTCGTCACATTAGCCCGGCACGTCTCGGTACACTTGAGTGTTGTATTATTGTAGCACTCCAGTAGAACTTGCCGGAACATGTTCCGTGTACTGCTGAGAGTCAGGTTCCGGAACTCCCACCACTTACATCCGTTGATTTCTGTTGTTCGCAGAGCCGGAAGTTGTCGATCACAGGAAGAGAGAGACTTGGTGGATGTGCACCATGGGTGACTTAGATGTTTCTAGCAAATACAAGTTTAGTGGGAAAAACTACATATATATATATATATATCGTGCGGCGTCAATTCGGCCAATGACGAAACGGCCCCGTCAAAACGACTCCGACAAAACGACCCCGTCAAAACGACCCCGTCAAATCGGCCCCGTCAAAAGGGCCAGCGACATATGGACCCCGTCATATAGGCTCCCGACAAATAGGCTCCCGTCATTTAGGCTACCGACAAATAGGCTCCCGTTATATAGGCTCCCGACAAAAGGGCTCCAGTCAATAAGGCTCCTGACAAATAGGCTCCCATCATTTTGGCTCCCGACATATAGTCTCCCGTCATTTAGTTTTTTCCACAAAACGGCCCCCGTCATTACGACTCCCGACAAATAGGCTCCCGCCATTTAGTTTCTCCACAAAACGGCCCCCGTCATTACGACTCCCGACAAATAGGCTAGCGTCATTTTGGCTCCCGACAAAAAGGCTCCTGTCAATTTGGCTCCAGACAAAAGGACCACTGACACAGTGGCGTAGCTACCGTAAAGCTAGCGTAAGCAAGGTATGGGGGCCCAAGACACATAGGGGCCCTTTTCCCTCATAAAAAAATAAATTTTTACAATGGAATTTTAATATTTGTTACATATAAATAATTTTAAAAAAGAAAAAGGTTAAAAGTTCCAAAAAGCCCCCCCCCCCCACCGTTTCGGCAGTGGGATTCAGTGTTTGTGGGTCAAACAGAGCCCAATCGTTATAATAACACTACAGGCTATATCACTTTGTCGTGCAAGACATTGAGAGAATCAGCCTATAAATAAACTTTTTAGCAGTAGTAGGCAAGCATAATAATATAGTATAAATACAAAATCAGGACATATAAAATACAAAATGTTGCCTTCAGAATATTTATATATTAAAAAATATCCATCGTAAGTAGAAGTTGATCTCTTCGTTTAACTCCTCTGTAGCCTAACACAGAGGCGTAGAGAAGGCGAGGCGGGGGGTGCGGACCGCAACGGGTGACACCATTTAGGGGGGGGGTGACACAAAGGCAAAAAATTGTAAAATTTATAGAATGAAATGCCATTTTCCAGATCCATTAGTTAAAGTTAAATAGTCTTCTAAGTACAAATCGAAAATTATATCAAGAGGGGGGGGGGGGGGGGGGGGGGTGTGACACCACGACGTAAACATAAACTATAAAGAAAACAATGCTACATCCAACTGTATTATAAACAGACTGCAGATAAACATCGTTACTATTAAGTCAGCAGTGATTAAAGCTTAAACACGTACGTGTACCAGTATGTGGCATATATATAAATTTTAGGCCTATGTAGGCCGACACACACACACACATATATATATATATACATATATATATATATATATATATATATATATATATATATATATATATATATATATATATATATATATATATATACATATATATATATATATATATATATATATATATATATATATATATATATATATATATATATATATATATATATATATATATATATATGTATATATATATATATATGCTTTGTTTCCTGGGAGGGGGGTGACAATACGAAGTGCCGCACCGGGTGAGACCCGACCTAGCGACGCCACTGGCCTAACGGCTGACGAAGGGGCCCACTGATAATTTTTGCATAGGGGCCCAAAAATCCTAGCTACGCCACTGCACTGACAATACCGTTTCTGTAGAGACTAAGTCTCTCGGCAAAGCGGTCTCATTGAATATGACCTGCCAGTGGGACCCCTTCATCAATATTCTTTAGAGTTAGCTTATCCAACACTCTTATGTAATACAACGTATGCATCTCTTGTTCGGCAGGCCTTATTTTTATATTAGTTTATCTATTATAAAATATAGTATGTTTTAATTTAAGGGTCATCTATCTATGACATCCATAATTGAGTCGGTTATAGGCTGTTCCAACTCATTGTGTGGGGAGAAGGGTCCCCGCTGTACCTTCCAAACTGCAATATGCTTGTACAGGGGCGTAGCGAGGGGGGGGGGGCGGGGGGTGCGGACCATTTAGGGGGGTGACACAAAGGCAAAAAATAGCAAAATATATAGAGAAAAAGTTGAGGGGGTGGGGTGCAAATCGAAAGTTTGGGGGGGGTGCAAATCGAAAACTTGAAAGTTTGTCCCCGGGAAGGGTCGCAACGCCTCTGGGGGGGGGGGGGGTGACACGGTTAAGTGCCGCACCGGGTGACACCCGACCTCGCTACGCCACTGTGCTTGTAGGTTATCAAAACAAAATGCTGTTATCATGTTAACATCATGTATATCATACATTTACACTTCTGAGCTCGCTTTTAAGCAACAGATCTTTTCTGTTGTAAATTAAACATTATCAAAACTTTAGAATTGGTGGAATTTAGCTGTTAAGGGCTCGATTTGTTTGTGAATTAATGTTGGTTCATGAAAAAATAATTTCATTCGGGCATTAAAAAGAGGTTATGGTGGTATTGGAGGTAGGACACAATGGTTACTTTTATGCCAATAGTGGTCATATCATTCATTTTTCTGGAGCCAATATGTCGGGAGTCATTTTGTCAAAAGCCTATATGTCGGGAGCCCAATTGCCGGGAGCCAATATGTCGGGAGCCCATTTGTCGGTAGCCAAAATGTCGTGAGCCCATTTGCCGGGAGCCCATTTGTCTTGAGTCCTTATGTCGGGAGCCAATATGTCGGGAGCCGCTTTGTCGGGAGCCAATATGTCCTGAGCCTATTTGTCGGGGGTTAATATGTCGGGAGTCCATTTGTCGGGAGCCTAAATATCGGGAGCCCATTTGTCGGGAGCCTATATGTCGCAAGTCAATATGACGGGAGCCCATTTGACTGGAGCCAATAAGTCGGGGCCCTTTTGACGGGGCTATTTTGACGGGGTCGGTTTGTCGGGAGTCGATTTGACGGGGTCGTATTAACGGGGCCGTTTTGACGGGGCCGATTTGTCCCGGGCCGTTTTGACAGGGCACCATATATATATATATGGTTCCATGACAAATGATTTCAGGACAAATGATCTCAGACAAAATATCTCAGACAAAATATCTCACGGACAAATGATCTCAGGACAAATGATCTCAGGACAAATGATCTCAAGGACAAATGATCTCACGGACAAAAGATACCAGGACAAAATATATCAGGACAAATGATATCATGGACAAATGATCTCAGACAAAATATCTCAGACAAAATATCTCACAGCGAAATTTTAATAGTATTTACGATGATTTTAGTTGAACCTTTTTATTGACCGTTAATATCGTTTTGTTTACTTTGTTTACGTATAATAATTGTGAATAAAATGAATTAGTGAAACCTAACCAACCATCAAAAGTTGTATTAAGCAATTGTAGTAGCATTTGATTTGAAAAAGTAAAAATTTAAACAAACTTACTGTTTTATCCTGAAAGATATAATAAATGATATTGTATAAAACAAATAAAGTAACGGTAGCTATACAACATTAATGTTCATAACACGCGAAATATCTTTCAAAATGTGAATGGGTCTGAAGGTTCGTAATGTTAAACTATTGTTTTTATTACATCATCAACACAAACATAACGTGTAAGTTTCTTTTCTGGCAGGTACATCAATACTATGTGACCATGTATTGTGTGAGCTCTTGCTCGACATGTCCTAATTTCACATTTCCAAATCTCTTTGCCTTGCTTATGGCAAACATAAATTCACCAGAAACTAATGTCCTAAAACCTTTCTGCGAGGTAACGAAAGAGACCATAGCAAAGCAATCACCATTAATACTGCTTTGTTTGATGCACACTACGACATACTTAGCTCCGCGATGACCGCTGTCGTTTAAATAAGCATTGGTCACCTGATCACTAAGGTGTGACCGACGCATAACAATAGACTTTAGATACAAGTCGTATTGTCCATGGGGGGGGGGGCGGATGTCTTTCCCTTAAGGTATGTCTCTGCTATCAAAGCGGGCGGCCACCTTAATACGAAGGTGTGTTTTTATTGTTATTTCATTCCCTTTGATCTAGTTTCGTCCACCTGACGTAGTAGGATTGTCTCACGTTTGTCAAGCACACCTACGCTATCTTTCGAAATTATTTCTTTAATCTTGGTATACTATATTACTAATACTAACCTTAAAATGCTTAGTGCAATATGACACATTTATACGGCAAACATTGCTTACAATTATTATATAGGCCTATAAACAATATTAAACATAGTAAACAAAACCATAAGACAGTCAACAACAAAAAATCAGATCAATTAAAATCACCCAATACACTATTAAAATTTAGGTGTGAGATATTTTGTCTGAGATATTTTGTCTGAGATCAATTGTCCGTGGTATCATTTGTCTTGATATATTTTGTCCTGGTATCTTTTGTCCGTGAGATCATTTGTCCTTGAGATCATTTGTCCTGAGATCATTTGTCCTGAGATCATTTGTCCTTGAGATATTTTGTCTGAGATATTTTGTCTGAGATCATTTGTCCTGAGATCATTTGTCCTGTCACCATATATATATATAAATATATATATATTATATATGTATGTATATATATATATATATATATATATATATATATATATATATATATATATATATATATATATATATATATATATATATATATATATATATATATATATATATATATATATATATATAAAATACTTAATATATATTTAATACATCGTGTTTGTGTTCATTGTTTACATCTTGATTGTTTTCTTGAAAAACTACATTTGAAATTCCATCAACACGATTTTATGTGCTCCATTGATAAATGTGTTTCCGATAGCTATTGTTTACAATATTCCATTTACAATTTAAAACATTTGCCGTCCAAAAAAAATAGACTGTTTTAAATGCCTCGATAACAAATTGCCTCCCTAAACACATCTCTTCTGAATTCACCTTCCTTCCCTGACTTTACCTCCCCACCTTACTTTAATCCCCCTCCCCTTTACTTTAGCCTCCCTCCACCTTAATTTAGCAGTGTGTCATACTTTGTGTACATCCACTCACCTCGACGGGGAAATATGTGATGAAACCAAAGCACATCTCATCAGAGGTCGCCTCTTGCCCCTTTAGCTTCCTCCTTACTTTAACACCCCCCCACCTCTTACTTTAACCCCCCCCCCCCCCCCCACACCTTATTTTAGTCCAACCCCCCCCCCTTACTATAGCAGTGTGTCATCCTTTGTGTACACCCACTCACCTCGACAGGGAAATATGTGATGAATCCAAAGCAAATCTCATCAGAGGTCGCCTCTCGCCCCTTTAGCTCCCCCCTTACTTTAACCCCCACACCCCCACCCCCTTCCTTAACCCCCCCCCCCCTTACTATAGCAAAGTGTCATCCTTTGTGTACATCCACTCACCTCGACAGGGAAATATGTGATGAAACCAAAGCACATTTCATCAGAGGTTGCCTCCCCCCAACAGACTGGCTCTTTTGTTGGCGTCCGTTTGTAGGTGCACGACGTCCTGATCTCATCTCCCGGCTCTACTCTGATTGGCTGATGGAAGCTGAGACACAATACAAGATTCTAATTAGGTTGGTGCTAAATTAACGGAATCTATTGAGATACAGTAAAAGATTCTTAATTAGGTTGGTACTAAATTAACGGTAAGCTAATAATAATAACCAGCATCATAAAACTCCAAACCTTAACCAAATCCGAACCAACGTCACAAAACTTCAACCTTAACCAAATCCTAACCAAATTCACAAAACTTCAAACCTTAACCAAATCATAACCAAAACTTCAACCTCATCCACATCCCTCCACTTTCCTTGACCCCCACCCCACATAACAAAGACCTCCACAACCTACTTGTATATCTTGGGGTCGTATAACAAAGACCTCCACAACCTACTTGTATATCTTGGGGTCGTCATATAAATATTCCTCTTGGTCTGTGATCACTTGCACCTTTGTGTTGTTTCTATAGACTTTAATGTGCTGAGATTTGCCTGGTGACGTCACAGAGGTTGGAAAGATAAATGTTTAGACATTTAGGATACAGTTGGCATAAAGTGAACTACGCGAAAGTTAACCGTGGGTTGGAAGAAAGTTAACCTTGGGTTGGAAGAAAGTTAAACATGGGTTGGAAGAAAGTTAACCTTGGGTTGGAAGAAAGTTAACCGTGGGTTGGAAGAAAGTTAACCTTGGGTTGGAAGAAAGTTAACCGTGGGTTGGAAGAAAGTTAACCGTGGGTTGGAAGAAAGTTAACCTTGGGTTGGAAGAAAGTTAACAAAACAGAACGATAATGGGTTTTAAAAAAAAGATATTAACATCTTTAGGTAACGGACGGTCTTGACCCTGAGATGTGTGATTGGGGGGGGGGGGGCGGTGAGGAAAGGGGACGGAAATCGTCCATCACTTTCCTGGAAGAGACAGTAACAGAGTATTGACGGGACTGCGTGAACAAAAGATAGTGCGCACATTTGCTAACCTGAAAGGCTCGAGTTCAGATCTTGGGTTCGATTTCGTAGGGCGTCACTGAGTCCACCCAGCTTTGATGGGTACCTGAGTTATGTTAGGGAAAGTAGTAACGGCTGAGCATAGTGATGGCTACACTATCCTTTCCCATGCTCAGATAAAAAAAAAAACAGGTTCGAAAGCCTAACTTATAATTTATATATAAAATATATATTTTAACTGGTGTCTAACGCCCTTCTCGGAATTTTCAATTCCCCCCCCCCCCCAAACTAATACTTAGAACATTTTTTGAAAGAAACCCTGCACAGAGGATAGCTGATGGAACCCGAGGAGCCCCGTCTACCTGGACTAGATTACAGAAGAAAAGCAGACGTGAACCAGTATTGACCACACGACAGTTTACTGGCACTGACCTAGATAGTGCATGTGATTGACAGCCGACGTGATTTGAATCGGTTTAGTGAACATGTGCGTGGTGCACCGTCCTGGACAGGAAGACAAGAACTCAAGGTCGTTAGCTGAAAAAGGTCAAGGTTGAAATTAAGACACAAACTCCAGGTCGTTGGCTGAAATAGTTTACTGCATGGATTATGAAATCGCAAGTGAAATATAAACTTTAACATGTGATATAGGGCGAAGGTGTGGTTGAATGGTAGAGCTCGAGGGTCTAGAGTTGGGATTTCGGTCCGGACTCTTGACTGTAAAACGTCACGAAGGCCACCCATCTCCACTGGGTACCTAATTTACGTTAGGGAAAGTAAAGACGGCTGACCACACCGTTTCTTTACATGCAGAGGTCAAGAAACATATGAACGCTATTTCATCTGCCCTAATGATGTTTATGATACGTTAAGTGTTAAGTCATATGCTTTAAGGATCTTTATGTAACATAACACCTAACATAACATATGTTATTAGACAAACACATGACACATGACATACACACTACCTTAACGATATACAAACATAACACATGCCATACACTACACACATGTCATATAAACCCAACCCAACACACACCTTGCCCGTCCTTGACCGGGTCCACCTGGACATAATCCTGCCCCACCACCAACATCCCCGCGTCGTACGGCCTCAACTTGTCCGTCAGATACAGCATCAAGCCAGACCTGTCCATGAGGTTGGCTTTGTTGTCTGGGTTGTTCCAGTGGACCTACATACATCAATATGTGGATGATTCAGATATATACATATATGGGCACAATACAAGCATAAGAGCATATGAAGGCGATAAATACTACTAAATACTCAAGAAAAGGTCTAAAGAAGATGACGTCAAATACCGAGATGACATTTGGTGTAAAATTCAGCCACTCAAACAAATCGTACTCAGGAAATGACTTACCCAAAGTCACTCGCATAGCCCCACCAACCTCACGGTCATGTAGACCAACATACCTGTAGAGACCAACCTACCTGTATGTAAATTAACATACCTGTAGAGACCAACCTACCCGTATGTAAATTAACATACCTGTAGAGACCAACCTACCTGTAGAGACCAAACTACCTGTAGCACAACAGTTATGTAGACCAACCTACCTGTAGCGTAACGAACATGTAGACCAACCTACTTGTAGAGACCAAACTACCAGTACAGACCAACCTACCTGTAGCGCGGTTGTCATGAAGACCAACCTACCTGTAGCGCGACGGTCATGTAGACCAACCTACCTGTAGAGACCAAACTACCAGTAGAGACCAACCTACCTGTAGCGCAACAGTCATGTAGACCAACCTACCTGTAGCGCAACAGTCATGTAGACCAACCTACCTGTAGCGCAAAAGTCATGTAGATCAACCTACCTGTAGCGTAACGAACTTGTAGACCAACCTACCTGCAGCGTAACTAACATGTAGACCAACCTACCTGTAGAGACCAACCTACCTGTAGCGTAACAGTCATGTAGACCAACCTACCTGTAGCGCGACGGTCATGTCGACCAACCTACCTGTAGCGCGACGGTCATGTATCCCCCGGGTCCCATCCTGAAGCCCATGTCACGGTGAGCACATTCCCCGGGACTCCGCATGGTCCACGCCCCTATCAAAGAGCGGCACTCACTGTGGGGTACCATCTCACACGGGTAGGGGGACTGGAGGCTCTTTATGTTTCTAACTGCGGGATCAAAACACACAAGTACACAATTTATGAATGTCGCATTTGTGTCTTATTTGTTAGAACAAATAAGACACCAAGCAAATAAAACACTAAACACACTAGACAGTAAACGTACAAGAAACTAAACGCACTAGACACTAAACACACCAAGCGAATAAAATACTAAACACACTAGACACTAAATCTTTACCTGAATCTAGCAATCAACAAACCAAATTGCATCGATTACCTACCAAAACAAATTTACATTGATGACGTAGGTTAAACGATCCCAACTCCCGTACCTAATGCGTACGTTTCTAAGAAACCATGCCCACTAGAATAGAGCCTTATCTTGTGAAGACCCCTACTATTGTAATCTTTGAATAGCTGCTTCTTCTTTGGTAACTGGCCGCTACATTGGTAATCGATCCCTATTTTGACCAAGGTGGTAACCGGCCCCTTTTTGATCTAGGTGGTAATTGACCCCTATTTTAATCTAGGTGGTAACTGACCCCTATTTTGACATAGGTGGTAACTGACCCCTTTTTGATCTAGGTGGTAACTGACCCCTATTTTTACCTATGTGGTAACCGACCCCTATTTTGATCTAGGTGGTAACCGACCCCTATTTTGACCTAGGTAATAACCGACCCCTATTTTGACCTAGGTGGTAAAGGACCCCTATTTTGACCTAGGTGGTAACCGACCCCTATTTGAGCTAGGTGGTAACTGACCCCTATTTTGACCTAGACTGACCCCTACCTTGGCGCGTGCAGCCAAAGAGTAACACGTGATGTACGACCTCTGTAGCTTCAACCAATGGCGTCGTGGCGATCATGTGCATGTCTTTCTTCAGGTCAAGGTCGAAGAGTTGACAAAAGTAGGTCGTCTCGGCAGGAGGCACTGGTGTTTCCGTCATGCGCAGTGATATATTCATCACACCTGTTTCAAATATTCTTTTTTTAAACTTCAAAATCTACTCTCATTCATAGTAAGAGCAAAATGATGAACCGACGATTTAAAAAGTATTTAATCTTCTTTTAAGAATATCGCTTGAATATTAATTATTATTTACTATAATTACTTAATATTAATTATCACTTATGCTGATTACTCAATATTAATTATTACGTATGATAATTACTCAATATAAATTAGTACTTATGATAATTACTCAATATTAATTAGTACTTATGATAATTTCTCAATGTTAATTATTCCTTATAATAATTACTCAATGTTAATTATTGCTTATGATAATTAGTTAATGTTAATTTTTACCAAAATTACAAGAACACATTATCATGACTTGTAGGAATTCCGGGAGAACCAATTTGACATAACTTATCATCTATATTTCTTGTACCGTGCCAATAGTGTTTCTATTGGGGGGGGGGGGGGGGCACTTGAAACTATTGGGGGGGGGGGGGAGGGGGCTGGACTTCCGGTGTTGTAGCGCACACTGGGTAAAGTATATATTTTCTATATGAATTAAATTTTAAAAAATTACATTCTTTCAACGGGGGGTGGGGATATGGGCGGGGGGGGGGTGCGGGGCGGTGCCACTCCACGATAAGATGCCTGAAAGAAACACTGCTTTTCAATGTTGATAATATTTTTCTCCGGGGCCACTTGAAACTTCCGGCGAGGCGGAAGGGCGCACTTAAAATTTCCGGCAGGATGGGTAAGGGGAAGAACCGTGGTTAAGGAATGTATTCGCAATATTTCCTAGATAAATTATAGATTGTTCTAACCAGGAGACTGAATGTGTGGACAGGCAGCGATCTTCATGTCTGCAGCTTCGGCCTCGCAGTTCAACCAGTGGTTGATCTTCTGGCACTTGGGGCTGTTCAACGGCTCGCAGATCCCTGGAATGGAAGAATTTTTTTTTTAATCATACAAAACATTATGGGGCTGCGTGGTCGAATGGTAGAGCGTTCGACTGCTATCCCAAAAGTCTCGAGCTCGGATCCCGGGAAGTGGTGGGTACCTGTCGAACGTTAGGGAAAGGAAAGGCTGCGGTGAGTCGTGTTGACCACACCATCCTTTCTTATGCCGCTGTCATTGAAATAGATAAACTCTACTTCACCTTTTCCATGAACATTAAGGATTTGAAAAAGCAATAATTTGAACAAAAAAATTAATTATGCAATTTAAATTTTTTTTTTCTACTTGTATGGACGGTAAAAATAACTTCTTAAGTTAACGTGATGTAACTTACATTAAATAAATCTAATTCTACATTTAAAAATAAAAAAAAATTGTCTTTTAATATTGTTTTAACAAATTTTTTAACTAAAATACTGCGTACTTTAAAATAAAGGATTGTCGTTAAAAAAATTATCATGATTGCTGTTTGCAATGTGACATAAAAGAAACAGCATATTTTCAATGACGTGGGAAGGGAAATAACCAATGTTTACCTGGGTGCGAGTCGCTGGATTTCTTGGGTGATTTCCCCTTGGTCCAAGTACAGTCTGGGTCGCCGAGTTCTTCCCCGTTTGTCCTGCCGTCACCGTCAGAGTCTGTCTGGCACAGCTCCTTCGTCCAGCTCTGGCCACAGACAACAGACAGACATTGCAAGTTATAGTTTTACAACATAGACGCTTCACGTATCGCCTTTTAGACTTCTCTGTATGTCCACTAAATACGTATTTCATTGTTTCTATGGATAGATTGAATATGTATGGTGCTAAAATGACCCTGTACAAATGTATAAACCTGGTGTTAAGGCACCATTCTGTCAACTGCTCACCATTTTGTCAACATTTTGTTAATAGCTCACCATTTTATCAACATTTTGTTAATAGCTCACCATTTTGTCAACATTTTGTTAATAGCTCACCACTTTGTCAACATTTTGTCAATAGCTCACCATTCTGTCAACTGCTCACAATTTTGTGAATAGCTCACCCTTTTGTCAACATTTTGTTAATAGCTCACCATTTTGTCACCATTTTGTCAATAGCTCACAATTTTGTCACCATTTTGTCAATAGCTAACCGTTTTGTCAATAGCTCACCATTTTGTCAATGGCTCACCATTTTATTAATAGCTCACCATTTTGTCACCATTTTGTCAATAGCTTACCATTTTGTCAATAGCTCACCATTTTGTCACCATTTTGTCAATAGCTTACCATTTTGTCAATAGCTCACCATTTTGTCACTATTTTGTCAATAGCTCCCCATTTTGCCACCATTTTTTTCAATAGCTCACCATTCAGTCAATAGCTCACCATTCAGTCAACTGCTCACCATTTTGTCAATAGCTCACCATTTTGTCAATAGCTCACCATTTTGTCAATAGCTCACCATTTTGTCAATAGCTCACCTTTTTGTCAATAGCTCACCATTTTGTCAATAGCTCACCATTTTGTCACCATATTGTCAATAGCTCACCATTCAGTTAACTGCTCACCATTTTGTCAATAGCTCACCATTTTGTCAATAGCTCACCATTT